ATGTAATACATATCGAATTTAAATCGTTAAAGTGTTTTATTTAAATGTGGTCCGCTCGCGTAAACTAGACAGTATTCGACAATTACAAGTAAATTGCATTTTACAGCTATGATAATAATATTATTGAACTACAACACACAAGAAATAATATAAAAAAACTGTTTTAGAAGTTTGTGAGATATTATTTATATATTAACATAATTTTAAATACTAAAACTACTTTGAAAATTAAAAAGGCTCAATAATGCTGTTGTATTTTATACGCACGTAAATAGGTAATAATACATTTTGTCACCAATTTTGACTATTCCTTATGTTAATTATTGTTAACAATCATATTTTTCTCTGTAAAACTATCAACCTGTATAATCAAATTTTACAAATAAATTTTCATAAAGTAGTGAAACTAGACGAGGGTACAATAAATTAATTTAGTCATGGGTTAAGAATAAAACCTCGTCAGTTAACTGTACATAGATTAGGACAGTTATTGAATTATTAAGGACTCAGGATTTTAGAATAGGTAAAATATGGATTTAAAAGTACTAAAAGAAATAACTGTAGGATAATATTTCTATCGTAAATTTACGAAAATAAAAAGTATTTAAGATTCAAAATATTTGTAGTCTTTAAAATAAAACACTTGTTTGAAAATAATTTTTAACTACGACCCAACCTTTCGGATGCTTTACAGCAGCCGTGGTCACGGGGGTGGTTTTAAACCATTACATAAAGTGTAATATTTAAATATGTACTACTCGCGTAAACAACAGACAGTATTTTTAGTCTTTGTATAATTCTTTCATTTGGAGCTTGACTGATTTTGATTAAACCTTAGTACGCGACAGTAATAGCAGATGGTAGCTAATTATAATTAATATTTTAACTTGTTAACGTAACGAAGGATTTGACAACGGACACTGTTCGTTACAGGCTGTAATAACGGGCTTGCAACGAGTCACGCCACAAAATACTAATTCTCCACGAAACGTATCAAAACTTTTGCAATTACATCAAATGTGATGGCTCCTTCATTGTAATTTTATCTAACAGCTGCATTCTAGGAAGTACATTTTTACGATTTTGCTTTAAAATTATATAAGAATATATAGTACTCTATATTGACATCATAAATATCTATAATATAATCGACAGCTATATAATAAATATTTTATTTTTTTGTTTTGAACGCGCTAATCTCAGAAAGTATTAATTTGAATTAAAAATATTTTTGTGTTGATTGGATCATTTATTGAGGAACTTAGAAATTTATTCGTATTCCGGGTTCAGGGTCTATCAAATAATGTCAATCTTTTAAGACTCGCAAAAATGTTTTTATAGTAGTCAAATTTGGTCGAAATTAATGCATTACAAATATTTTATAAGAGTGAATTATATTTGTCTTACAAACAAGAAGACAGCATTTGCCGCACTAGTTAGTATAATAAAACGATAAGAAAAAATAGACGTAGTCGGTATTATTTAAAATATTTACAGAGCGTACAATTACGTACAAATGCGTGTTTTGATTACGATTTCATTAAGAATCACGTCATAGGGGGAACAGAAATACTTATGCAAAGAGAGATAATTGCGTAATAAAGAAGATAAAACGCGAAGGCACAATGACCGAAATTAATTCCATAAACAACATCACATATGCAGGAATAGACAATAATTCGCACGCGCGCTTTCCGAACGCGCCACGTGGTCACAAGATGGCCGTCCCGACCTTTTGGCGGGAAAAGCTCGTCTAGCTGTAATGGCGTCTTTTTACGCTACCTGCTTGCTAATTGGAAATTAGGAGCCTAATGTGTACGGTTCTAATGTACGTTTGAATTGTTATTGCTTTTTTCGATTTACGGATTTGTTTGTCTTTTCCAATTGACGCTCGGACGATTTGCTTTTATGCTTTTCGGCCTGTGTTACTATTTTAATTATTCTTTAAAGGTGGCGTTTTTTCTGATGAGGTTGGCTTGAGTGAAATTACTAAGAGGCATATACATTAAAAAAAGGTTTACTTTGTTTGAGAAAAAAGAAGCGACGAAATATAGAACACTATTTTGTTTAAGAGATATAATAAACTCACTTTTACAACGTGCGTTTTTATTGCATTACCTTTATTATCGTTGATAACGCGATATAAGAAATAATAATCATTAAAACGCCCTATTTGCAATACAATACATATTTAGGATCTAGGGTAACATACAGTTTAATAAAGTCAAATCATAAACATAACAATAAACACGTTGATAAACAGCAAAATTCCAAATATTCTGGTTCTAATTAGATCACCTATACGCTAGCAAAGATGGCTGCCACATTAGCGCCATCTGTCGCATGTAAAACGAATTTATTTATATATCTAATTGCTCCGTACTACCGTTGCCGACGCATATGCACTTAATATGGATAATATTAAAGCTAAAAGCTGGTATCTGCTTAAAACAACGCTTTATTGCTCTATTGTCGTCAAGTTTTATTATTGAGAAACGACTCTGGCGCCATCTGTATTTATGTTGAGGGATAAAGTTTTTAAGACGTCGTTCGCGGTGGTTATAAAGGATATGTTTGGACGGAGGTATGTGCAGCGTATTGTGAAAAAGCTATTTTTAATTGTCCTTTGCGTCAGCAATGTAGCCTATACACCAAAAGGGAGTATGTGAGGTAAAAATGCGGTCTTCAATCTTACTCCCGCGGAACCTACTATTAACCTAAGTGATATAATATATAACTTATTATTTTAAACTTTACCAGCAATCAAAATAAAGTTGCATTTATGTATTTAGACTAAATGTTTAAATGTTTAAATGTTTAAATGTGTTGCCTAGGCATTGTGTTCAGCGCGAAAGGTCATAGATTCGAATCCTGGGAAAACAATATTTTGTTTCGGTCAAGCAGGACAGTCTAGACAGCTAGTTGTGTGCGTCGCATGCCCCACTGGAGAAAATGGTATTTTATGGTATATATATATATATATATATATATATATATATATATATATATATATATTAACCTACAAATAAATAATTTGTCCTTCTTTAAGTGTAACTTTTTTTTTAAGAAAGAAGTAAGATACTTTTTTGTTACGCCTTTTTATGTTTTTTAAGAATTGAATATCAAATAATTAGCCGAAATAATTGAACAAACTTTTATTCCCTCGCAATAAAGCAATACCGATAACTTATGATTAAACAGGGCAATTAGTATAATATATTACGTCATAAATATGTCAAAAAATCACATTACTTGCGGCTGATACACCCCATGGCATAACAAGACGCCACCGCGGCTGCATTATGCCATAAAACACATTTATTCAGTAATATGCATTATGCCCTTAAAGTGAGACGAGTCAACGAAAGATAATGCGCTTTTGTCGAGGGCATGTTGTTTTTAGTACAAATACTACACTAAATAAATAAAAAAATCTATTTTAGATTAAAAATTACGACACGGGCAGGACTTGTACCATCATGCGCAATAACGTGTGAAAATATAAAAGTTTTTAAAACTAAACAAACAAGAAAGTTTGTGTAAGTCCCTGTTTCCCCTATCTGGGGCATGTGGCGGGACCGTCTTTTATCAAGAGAACTCCTTGTGTGTCCACTTCTGTCAAAAAGTTGTCATTTTAAGTACTGTCTCGAGTTTACGCAAATAGAGTACAGTGCTTAACTTTGTTAAAAAATGTTTTTTTAACGGTAAAATAGCTGCTCGAAAGTATCCTAAACATTGGATGTGGTTACTACTATAAAATATGTCAGACCGTTATTAGTGTTTTAGATATTGTTTACGCGAACAGTACATTTAAATCACTATGAACTGTTTAAAACGCATTAAAAAAACCTTATTTACTCGTATAATTTATTTCAACTACGTTTCGAACACTGCAGCAGTCGCGGCCATGACTGTTGAATTTTATATAAAGTTATCTTAAATTATAAATCGATTTTAGATTGACTAAAAAAATTACAACCTTAACCGTCATCCACAGTGCGTTCCTCAATTGCAGGTTAGAAAAAGTTATAATTTTTATTTGAGTGTACTTTCAAATTCATTGAGTGATTATTATATTAGTCTCCAAAAAGAGAGGACTACTAGTATTTTCACTCTTACGAGTTTCACTTTTTATTACACCTACCGTCATTAAAGAGGGCCCGACGCTATCTATCACGGAAAATCGCTGTTTATTTGTTTTTATGTCCCGAATAATATTCCCGAAGGAATTAACGGCTCAGAAATATTGAAGGCGCATCTGGTTATAGTCATCTGGGTAACTTCTAATATCTAACGCTTCGTATGTTATTCGATAGCCTGATTGTAGGGAATTCGATCTCCGTTTGTGTAATAAAATATACATATAGTAATGAGTCTTTTGGTGTTGAAACAAACTGTACGTTCTGTACTGTACTGAAATAGGAATGCATATTTCAAACCAGAATGACTTGAGAAACAATCAATGATTGGTCAATAATTTTTGGAATAGTATATACAATTTCTGATAACTGTCACTGTAATAAATAGTTAAAAGGTTACAGTTTACAAGCATTATCTTATACAATATTAGTGTAATTTCAATATAGAAAATAAATAAATTTTTTTTATTTGTAACACATTTAACAGTTTAAAACACGAAATATATTAAATAATCTATTTTAACTCGTTTTAAACAGATACAATTGTTTTCTTTAAATGTGTATACTTCAAGAACTACTCTACAACTAGCTAATCCTTACAATTTTGATTATACAATACAGATAATAGTACTTAAATTTTAATTAAAGTAATCTTTTGTATTTATTATATGAATGTTTATTTCTTGTAAGAACAAATAGTTTTGAATTAACTGTAATTTAACCCTCGAAGAGCATTCGTACACTCCACAACAAATTGTACACCAAATTGGCAGCGAATCCTGAATCGGGAACGATGTTTATTCTTAGGGGTAGAACTGTTTAAGTAACCCATTTGAATGCATACTTGTCCGTCACTCGACGCTATATCGAGAGAGAAGCGAGCACAGGGCTGTTACCGAACCGCCACACCTCACTGAGCTGTCCTGCCCCGCGCGGTCTCAAACCAACAGGGGAGATAGGGGTAAAGAAGAACAGTGCCGGAGCTCTAGCATTTATGGTCGGCGGGCAGAACGAGCCAACTTGTCACATACACGATTAAACCTGATTGTGATGTAGGCTCACGGGATAACTGTTGATTTGATTTTATGTTACGCCGAAACGTCTGTTTGCGCGTTTATAGCTTATAAACTCTGGTTTGAATCGAACTGTATCGACATATAAAATTGACTGTTAAACGTTTATGACACCGTGTGCCGAGCGCGGATAATATCACGCTTTTGTCTTTATTGCCTTTAGAGATTTAGATAATTTATTTTATGTACTGGGTAAATACGGGGAGAATACGTGCGAATAGTACTATACACCAATGTAAATAGTTTGCAGAGAGTATCTTTATTATCTGGTTAACGATATAAGTTGTGTGTTTTTTTTTATTAAGCAATGAGAGGAGAATATTTAAAACCGAAACGAATGCACAAACATCAACGGCGAAAGCGGAACACATTACATTCACAGAAGTTTCTCGAGGCAGCCGCCCTCAAACGTGCTATAAATAAGGGGGGCACAACAAAAACTCTCGCAAGCATCACCTCGGCACGTCACCCTGCTCAGATTTCATTACCATAAAGAACTGGAGGCCTTAAAACCCCCCAGTCTAAAAGGTGACGTATACCACCCAATTTGACGTGGCCCACCACCCTACGAACACGAGCCCGTCCATACCTTGCTTTATCTCCTTGCGGAGCGACGAGGGAGGTCTCGCTAGGCTGGACGCTTGGAATCCCAAAGCGGGCCGGTCCCCGCGTCGAAATGTGCCGTAAATCGTCATAAAACTGTCTGGATCCATGATGTGACGCTGCCCGGGGGTAATTAAAGGACAATTTATAGTTTTGCCCGCGTCTCCCCTTTATGGAGACGGCCTCCTCACGACGGATGTCGAAGCGTACCTCGTTTTTGCTTAGTTTTTCTTCGCGTCTATTAATATGCTTACATAAGTTTTAGTTTATAGCAAATTTTATTATCATTACTTCCATTTAATAGGCTAGTAATAATGAAAAATTATAAACAATCCTTTATTAATGTTACGTTTGCTAAAAATAAAATAATTTCAGCTCTTTTAAATTATTTTTTATAATATATAAGAATGTCATTATTCAGTCAGAATGTAAATTTGATTATTTTATTTACTAGAATTACTTTGAAGGATAAAACAAAACACTTTTTGCTCGAATAAATTAAGGCGAAATAATTAAAGCACCTTCATTCGTGACAGATTAACAAAGAGGCTTCGTCAAGTTGAAAAATGGCGGTTTTAGCCTGGTCGCCAAAGAAATATCACGCGGCCATATAAAGCCGAGGTTTTAGTGCTATGCTAATCTGCCACCCCGTGTAATTATTCCATCTCTTGTTGACATTATTAAAATGAACTTTTTGTGTTGGCTTTTTAGATAATGGCTGAACGGAATTCACATCTTAAAGAAGACCATTTCAGAGGGAGGTGGACTGTAATACCATTTAACGTACAAAGGAAAAAACGTCTAGTTTTAATAAAATTGGGCTCTTATAAACAAATTTAAATTAGAAGTTTGTGAAATATGAAACAAGAATGTGACAGTAATACTATCTGTAGTTTACGCGTGTAGTAAACATTTTTAACGGTTTAAAACGCGAAATATATTAGTTAAATGTACTTAACTGTAACTTATTTAAATTTATTTAACTTTAACTAATACATATAGCGTTTGAAACCGTTTTATTTAAAATCATATTGCGTTAAAAAAAATGAATTTACTTTAAATTAAATTTCGTCAAAATACTTCACGTGGCAAAATTACGTTCTTTTAAATAAAACACTTTAACGGTTTAAAACACGATATATTAGTGAAACTTATTTGAAAATTATTTTATATTAACTTCTGTATCCCCGTGACCACGGCTGTTGCAAAACATCCGAAGCGACAGGATGAAGTTAATAATAATTTTCAAATAAGTTTAACTAATATTTCACTTTTTCAACCGTTAAAGTGTTTTATTTAAATGTGTACTACTCGCGTAAAGTATAGACAGTATAAAATTACGTTTCCCAGATCAGCTAGTATATTATTATGGGAAACATTTATTAAACGAACAACAGTTGCATTGTTATTGAATGTATCCATCCTAACACCCTAAAGTAGTAAATACTGTCGTAGCCCCTCTACGCGTGTTGCGTAACCCGTAGCACCATCGCGTAGACGTGCTACATCACAATCCAATTTCGTAGACTCGTCCCACGAATAAAAAAAAACAGGAAAGTATCATTTTAATATCAGCAATAACATGCGACCTTATTTATTTCGTCAATAACACTTCAATAATAACGTAGGCTGTGTAGACCAGTGTAAGCTGACCTGTGTATACTTTTTATTGAAGCAAGTTGAATTACAATCAGTTAAAACATAAATGGACGCCATAACTAATGTTAATATGCAAATCAATTAAATTTTCGATTGGATAGGGCTACATCACGGATGGCTGTGGATAGCAGTTCAAGTCCTGACCGTGTCCTAATGTTTTTCAATCTAAAATCGATTTTTAATTTATATAGTGCTATCATGTAAATAATATATATTGAACTATATACATGTTATTGCAAATGAAGGCACTATACAAATATAAAAATCGAAAATAAGTTGAAAAAATTTTCGACTCGGATGCTTTTCAGCTGTCGTGGTCACGGGGAGACTGACGCAAACCAGTTGAAACATCGGGCCGAAGTTAAAAATTATTTTCAAATAAGTTTAACTAATATATCGCGTTTCAAACCGTTAAAGTTCTTTATTCAAATATAAACTGATTAGAAACAGGACGAACTCAGCGGGGACCAAATGCACTACCCGTTGATTATTAGTATTGCAATCTTTAGACCAATAATCCTAAAGTCTCTAGGACAACAGTATCATTTAAAACAGTCCTTAAATTACAATCTTCCAGTCGCATAAAGCGGCGACTGGAAACTTTCCGAATTATCCTTATTTTCGTTCATTATTTAATGAATTATGTTGATTACTCGTGGCCTCTTGCGCCGGTACAAAAGTTTTTCCTATCTCAAGATATAACTTGAGTCGTAAACCCCTGGCACGAATGTATGGAGAATTTTATTTTCGAAAAGTGATTATTTCTTATTATATACGCGTTTTTACGATCTTCTTTCTCGTGTTCTTTTAATTGTCTTTTATCCTTAGATGTAAGTTTAAAAGTTTGTTTACAATAAAACGGCGTTAAAATGAGACATAAACATTGTTTTATGTAACTTTGAAGTCTAAAGGATCTACTATATAAATTAGGGATGTAGGATGTATTTACTACTACTATACTAAGAATAAAATAAATTAATAAATATAATTGAAACAAAAAATGAATTTAATCTATTAAAGTTCTTTTCGATCTCTCATTTTTACAAGAGTATTTCTTCATTCTTTTACGGCTTATAAATTATTTATATTTATTTTTATTCATTAGATTAAGAACTGTCTACATTTTAACATCAGTGACATATAACTTTAAATATGTTACAAAAAAAAACAAAATTGTGTAAAACAATTACAGACAGACACAACATGGTTGCAAAAGACACACCTTATACACAGACAAAGTGAACATTAAATTGAACCATAAAGAAAACTTTTAGAACAATAGATTATTACTATTATAATATGCAATTAGATAACTAATTATGTGCACATAAGTTTAAAATACAGCATAAATTAAACCCAGAGGCTGAAGATAGTAAGGTATTAAATATTCTGGGTGAGTCGCATCCAGTATATTAATATACGATAAGATTAACCAACATTCTATGTAAATGTTTACACTGTAGTAATTTGTAAAAAAACGTTTTTAACTTCTGAGTTCCCTGTAAGTTCAAAAAGCGACGTAGGCTTATCAAGTGGAAACCAAAAACTATTTTGGTCATTTACCATTCCGCAATTAGCTAGGACGATAAGAACTTATACTTGGCTTTCTTAATTTAAAATTAACGATTCATATTTAAGAAGTATTTCTTCATTAGGTACTTCGCATTAAATGAAGATGAGAAAAGTTATAAAGAACTCACGAAGATACAGAGCGTGTTAACATAATATCTTTAATTGATTAATTTATTTTTAATCGTCTTTAAATAATGAGGTTCTGATTTAAATAAAATATTAGTTAAACTTAGATGAGAAGAGATGGCGCTATCGTAGCAAATACTTCGACATCAGAGACCCTCTCCATCTTTAGTCTCCCCGTGACCACGACTGCTGCCCAGCATCCGAATTTACAAATGAGTTTAAATAATATATATAGCGTTTGAAACCGTTTTTTTTTAAAGTACAGTAGTGAACTCACGTAAACTACAGACAGTATTTAAAGAGCTTCTTAATTCGGTTGAATAACTTTAAAGATTAAATAGTGTATGAGTTTTACGCGAGTAGTACACATTTAAATAAATATAGTCCTGCAAGATATGAAAATGATAGCTATACTCAAGCCCATTTACAATCTATTACACAGCCTCGCTTAAAACAAGCGAAAGTTGTTTTATAATCTCAGCCCCAAGAGGGTTTGGGTGATATATCGTTATGATTATCAGAAATTAATCGTTGAAGAAGTTAGACGATTCCTGGATGAGTAATTGAAAGGAACTCCGGCCATTCGCTTTGCTCGAATACGTTTTAATGTCTCATTTTATGTGTTACGTGCCTTGTGAGCCGAGATGCTCTGGGGACCTGATTTGCACAACTGATGATAAATGTAATGGCGTTTCGTAATTTATGCCACTTCGTCTATGTTTCGATAAAGGTGATCGTATTATGATAAACTAACTGTGCCAGCGACTTAGTCTGCGTATAGTTGTTATATGTCTATCTTTTAAGATTAGCTTGTAAGAGCAACCGGATGCGACCGACGTTATGGGTAACAGCTTAAATTTATACTAGGAACTACTCTCTACTAGGAAGTCGCTGATATAGCTAGTGTATATATAAGATTGTATTTTAATCCCGGTAAGTCGCCGACGTCCATTATAATCTGCTTAACTATAATCGATGGTTATATGCTATTCATCCAATCGGCGTCAATTCACACCTGCATAATGTTATTTACTATAGCAAATCCCCTAAATTACAATCTGATATAATTATCGACAATAATGTCGGTAAAGCTAATTAACGGGATGTAATAGTAATTAGATGTTTATTACTTAATCCTATATATCGTGGTTAGTCCAATAATTTCAATACCGTTTTCACTAATGTTGCTTCTAATCAATACTATTGTTATTAATTTAAACCAAATCAAACAAAAAACGAATATTATCTGATATTGGCTTAAAAATAATTAAAATTAACCCTTCGTGTGGTGAAAGTACAATCGACCGTTTGCCCAAATATAAGTTAGAATATCGTCTGTAGTTTCCGCTAATAGTATAGTAATGATAGTAGGTAGATAGTACTAGTAACGTCTTAACTTACTTAGTAGGATACTAAAATGTAACTTTACAAATTAACAGATATGTATAGGTCGAAATATTCTTTAAGTTGAAATAAAACATTTTTTAAAAGTTTAAAACGCGAAATATGTTAGTTAACTTATTTACAATTTATTTAACTACCTTTTGAATGGTAAATAATTTATAAATTGTAAATTAGCTAGCGTTTATCTATGGCGTTTTAAACTTAGTTCAATTGAAAAGTCTAATAGCCTATCTGAGTTATAGTGTTGTAGTAAGTTATAGTGGTTGTCTCTGAAGCCACTGTTAATACACCGTATAATAAATAATATTTAATCTTAATTTGTTGATTAATACAAGTAAACTTCCAAACTCATAGATCAATAGATCGACAACTCATCTAGTAAAAATGGCTGAGGTAAGTACTATCTGTAGTACACGTGTTGTACAGATTTATAAAAACACTTTTTTATCGAATAAAACCCTAAATTGTTAGGAAAATTATTTTAATTACGACATTTCGGTTGCACGGTCACTAAAGATGAAAGGTGTCTCTAATGTAAAATTACAAACTTCTACGCTAGCGCCACCTGCAAAATATACGCTCTGATTCGAATGTGAATACATTAGTCAATTTGTAAAATTATTTATATATATATTTAAGATAAGCGAACCCAATGATTTATAATTAATGTAAATATTTAAAGTCTTGACTAGTTACATATAGTAATTATCATTAATAGTTTTAGAAGGGTTAAGGATGTAAAATAATTTAAGATTTTTTTTTATAAGGAGACTTAGTTAATGAGTAATGAGTAAATATTACTTACTTACTCCGCTGGCGCAGCGACCCAAAGTGGGTCTTGACCTTCACAACAAGAGAACGCCACTTCCGCCGATCCTGCGTCATGGTTCGACTTCGATATTACTGTACGCATTACTGTTTACTTTAATAAGTAAATATTATTGTACGCATTACTGTTTAATATAAGTATACTGGTTCGTAAATAAAGGCTATTCATTTAATTTAATTTCATAAAACATAGGAAATAACATGCGCAAAACCGTGCATATAATTCTGACAGCGCCCGCGCCACCAATAACTACAAACGTTTCCGTTATTAACGTTAATTTATAACGCATTGCCGGTGTTTCGCACCTAACCGTGGACATAAGCGATTGTCGTTAAATCTCGCACTATGCCCGAGCTATGGTTGGTTTACGATTATGCGACGATTCGGAATGACAACGGATGTTTATGAGATGGGGCCGGGGGCTGATTAACAGTTCCTATTGCAACTGGTTCGTCGTAAATTTTTATTGATTATTGCATTAATTGGGAGGTAGGGGGAGGTTTAGCGAACCGACGCTGTATAGTAATTACTGACTCGAAATAAACTGAATAATATACTGTAATGTATGAGTTTTAAGCAAGGTTGTGTAGACTATTAAAATAAACAAAACATATAAAAGAGGTAATTTTAATTTAAGAATCAGCTTTGCGAAGTCAGAAGTTTATGACGTCATAATAATTCGCACGCTTAGTATTAAAGTGACCTAACTCAATTTTTTTGTAAAATTAGATAAAAACACAGACATTACTATAATAACGCCATCATCATAGATTTATACGATTTGCCAAAAAAGTGTTTTTTTTTTTTAATTAGGTCACTGTTATACTAAGCGTGCGATATATAGATGTATATTATATTGTACCCAAAAAGTCTCTTAAAATTGTTTTGTCTTTTTGCCACTGAACAGTGAACTCTTCAAATATTCGTTAGAAATCATAAAAAAGTGTCTCTTTATATAGTTACATCGAAAACATATTGTTAACACCCTTTGTTGTTTTATAATTAAAAATAAAATTATCTATAAAGATTCTTCGTATTCGAGATATAACTTATGTTATTTCATTTATTAACAATATGTATTTTATATATGATTAACATTTTGTAAAATACAAAGAATAACAGTAATAAAACTGTGAGATTTTCTAATTGGTAATCTTTTATTTTCCTTATTATGTCCAATTTAAACAGTTAAATGTCAATTACAGTTATGTATTTTCAATTGAATATAAATCATTTCCACAAGTTAGTATCTAAGTTCTGCCAATCATTTACCAACATACGATGCGAACGTTATAAGAAATTTACGTAATTAAAACTCGTTAATAGAAACAGTATTTCAGGGCAATTCCATTACGCTTAGGACCTCCGAAGCGCAAACAAAGAAACTATCCGTGAGTCCGCTCAGCAAATCTCCATAAATATCAGCCGTCTACGACATTGTCAACCGGCCACCCTAATTTACTGCTAGTAATTAGGACTTTGCACTTTGCCAAAGCGATTTGCATCGATCGAACGACCGTCAACATTATTATCTTGCTTCTGGACGTATCGTTCTTGGAATCCAACTTGAATTTGTAAATAAATAAGTTGTTAAATTAAATACTGTCTGTAGTTTTACGCGATTAGTACACATTGAAATAAAACACTTTAACGGCTTCAAACGCGATATATTTTTGTTAAACTTGTTTGACAATTATTTTTAACTACGACCCGACATTTCGGATGACCCATGACCACGGCTACCGTGAAGCCGTTAAAGTGTTTTATTTAAATAAGTTGTTAAAGTAAATCTTAGCTCTCAGTTGATAAAATGAAGGGTTAACCACAGAATTGTAGATGGTATGACAATAAAATTTGACTAATACTGATTATTTTCGATGGATGTATAAATACTAAATACCACGATACAATTATTAGTATTAAAAACAATTATGTCAATTATTTACAAAAGACGGTGTGCATTTTTTAATGTTTCAAGCGCCACCTAGTTAATTTAAACTTCTTTTTAGGAGTTCGTCTACGTGAAATAACATGTCTAGAAAACAACTTTAGTCAAAAATTATTCAAAAGATGTCGCTGTTATAACTTTTTTTAAGTATTTGTTTACGTTAATATTCATTAGTTTAATGTTAAGAGTTAGATTTTTTTATTAAAATAATAAAATTTCTTGTAGTATTAATTATTGGTAAACAACAGTCAATTGGCATGAAACTGACAGCTGTCATAAAACAATTTCCCGCCAAAATATATATCTACATTGCCGGTTTATTTTGTAAATAAAAGTTTTTATATTATTTAAGTTTTATAGAACAATAGAGTCGTATTGACGTTTTTGTAACAACTTATGCAGTTAAGTAAATCAAAATGGATCCATATGAAATAGAATTTATTGGAGAAAATCGCATCGTTAGCATAATTCCAAACTTTTCCTACGATAAAATCTATTTAATTTGTGGTGAATTCGGTCCGTTCCGTGCTGGTTTGCCAATGAATGTACCTCTGTGGTTAGCTGTGATGTTGAAACAGAAACAGAAGTGCCGAATCGTAGCTCCTGATTGGATGGAAGTAGACAACTTAGAAAATATCAAGGAAGAGGAAAAGAGATCTAGGTGAGTTGGATGAGATCAGGTCTGTACCCACATAAGTTAGGGCTAAAGAGAACAACTTTTTTGATGATACAGGAGGACAGGTAAGCGTGGGGTTTACTTGATTATAGGTCAAATACGACAGCCATATAACATAAAAACATGATGCACCGTCGACCTATTTTGGGTTTGAATATTCGGAAATCAACACATTGAAACGCGATTAAGTTTTAAGAAACTTAATCGCGTTTGTGGGTGTGGTTTGTGACTCAGATAGAATTTTGATATTCCTACACAAAGTACATGTTTTAGAAAATAATAAGTTGATTAGACCTGGTGGGATACAAACCCACTACTTGATTAATTAAAAGCAATATGTCGTTTCCATTGGTCCAACAAACCTGTCAAATTTATGATAATTTTTATCACATGTATTTGATATGCTTATTAATTTATAAGTGTAAAGATCGTGATAGCCCTGAGTATAATTATGTACTTTATATTTGGAGGATTAAGTTACAAGTAATATACATATTTCAATTGCAGGTTTTTTACAAAAATGCCAAATGAACATTATATGGTTGAAGCAAAGTTAATTCTAGGCGCTGCGTCAGAAGATATACCGAATGCCTCAGAAATAAAAACTATTATTAAAGACATCTGGGATATAAGAATGTCTAAGCTACGAACATCTATGGATGCATTAATGAAATCTGGTGGTTCATATGGTAGATTAGACCATTTAACGATGATGGAGATAAATTCTGTTAAGCCCTTGTTACCTGCTGCGATGGATGAACTTCTAAGGATCCAAATGGTATGCTGTTTTTTGTTTGTTATTGTTTAGGAATAATTTAATTAGCACTTGGTAGAGATCTATAGAGAGATATTGTTATGTCTGTACAATTTGTGAAATACCAAAATTGGTGTATATAATTCATTGGTTTTATGCATCATTCATAGTACTTGTACAAAATGGAATTTTTAACCACTCTTTTATTTATTATTTCTTAATTTAATTAATCTTACACAAAAACTCTTTAATGTTTTACATAATCATGGGATTATTGTATTAGTCTTATTCACATCTTTATTATAAATGAAACTTTTTCTGTACATTGTAAAAACACCTTATTGGGTTTAAACTGTTTTTATTCTTATAATTTATTACTGATTGCCTGAAACTGTTAATTTCAGATGTCAAAGAAAACAACACCAGCTACATTAAACAGTTCAACGTTTAGCCAATCTGGGACCTCACAAAACACCTGACAACTGCCTAAATTTATTATCTTTGGCTTAATTTAATCTATTTTAAGTTTTATAAATTAAATGCATTTTTTTTATACAGTTTAATTGCTCTAGAGTAATAAAAGGTGACTGATCAATCTAACTAACCTTTTTTTTAACCATAGGCCTCATTAGCTTATAACTATTTAAACCAGTTTGGCCGGACACATTTGTGCTATTTTGCAAACAGATGTCTTCACACATTGAGTTATGAGGCTGCTAGAGGCAGTAGACCATATAACCAACAAAAAGAAATGATTTTCAATGAGGGTAGTAAAAATGCGCATTAGCTTAGGCGAAAATGAATTTGTCCTATTTTTTGTGTAAGAATGTGCGTGTTCATTTTGTGTAAGATTTACATTTTTTGACTATAATAATATAAATAAGACAAGTAATAAAATTGCAGTGGACTCATATGTAATAGAAGTGTGCCTTCCCAACATATCTGTAAGGGGATTTTATATATGTATTGTTTTTTTAAATAAAACATTTACTCATCAGAAAAAAATATATTTTTCATCTTACATCTATCATGTACAATCACTGAACGGTAAGACGTTCCTACAATTACCTTAGCTATTTGTTAGTCTCATTGTCATATTCCTTAGGTACTAAGCTAAGCTAGGTTATCTAATAGAACTAATCTAAAGATACCTAAACTTATAATAGACATTGGCATGAATAGTACTGAAAATAATTGCTAAATTGGATAAATTAGCTCTTAATATAAAACGTAAATCGATATTGCAAATCAATAAATGTCGTATATCGAATAAATCGTGCTATCTCTCTTAAACATGTACAGTAAAAGCGAGATATAACATGTTGACGTTTAATTTTAAAAATTATAGTCGAACATCTCGCACAATATTAGAGAGAGACAACACGAGGGTGGAGTAAAAAAACAAAACTGTCCTTACAACTATATAGAAATATTACACAGTAACGAATATAATATACGGTCCTACATAATGTCTCGTGGAATGTAAAATTACGGTTGAGATTATTTTAATCAAGCAAGCGTTAATAAGAGATCCAAAGTGGGAATTTGGAAAATCTGAGGAAACTTAACATTTAACACGAAATTACAATCAAAACGAACGCTTACATACAATAAGTTCACGACTAAGCCGCGTTTCATTTGCGTTGAATAACTTTGCTCTTTTCTAATGTACACCCGTCTCTCTCGCGCAAAGTCATCAAAACACTTTGGTCTAACTCCAGCTTGTTAAACGAGATTTTCATGTTATATATTTACATTACAATGTCAAATGTCAATCTGTATTATATACAATAAATAAAATATATATTTGGATAAATTAGCTTTTAAATATATACATAGATGTGCCGATATAATAAACGTCAAACGTGCCCCAAAATGTTAATTGTTGTAATCTTATTCAAGACATTCTGCATTTTTCAAAACGCCTTTTTATGTAAGGCGACCAAAAATGCTAAGCGAACGATAACTGGCAACACACAATCTTTGCAGTGTCCTATAAAAATGTGTGTATCTATGGCACGGGGAAAACTGCCGAGTCTTTGAAACAGTTTACGTTCTTCAATCGGCGTTGAAATTCAAGAGATCTTCAGTGAAAGGATAACAATGCTGCGAATGCGCACCTAACTAAATATTTACAGATAAAAATCGGAAAACCGATGAGAAATATCGGAAATATTTACACTTCAGTATTGAGCTATGTACAATTACAACTATGACTTTTTAAATTATCTAACACTAAATAACAGTGACTTTTGGCTTATACGGCGACTATTTTGCTTGGGTCGACTTTGACCCTTAAGAAAAGTACGTCGTCTTTGACGAAATTTCTCTTTTTGAGCATCTCGTGGGAGACGAATCTGGGGAAACCGAACCCTAGCGCATCTGGTTCCTTAGAAGGCCGCTGGAAGTTCTTCCAAGTAGGATCGGGGACGAAGCTCTCGACGATATTGCAGGCTCTGTCTGGCGTGGAGCTTTGGTCGAAGAGTGTGAAAGAGACGGTATGAGCGAAGGGCCAGCGGAGTAGAGCATCGTATTCGCCAGGTAGGATTTTGATGTAGACTGACATGTGGGTAGACTCGCCGGCGCCGTTGCCATTCAGAAACAGGGACGCCTGGAATAGAAAAAAAATAATTAGAATTTAAGTCATTACACGTTAGATGTATTTTCATGTATAAGTATAAATTCTTAATTACTTCACTTGCAACAACAAAATCTCTTTTTTTAATACTAATTGTTATTTTTCATATTTATAAGCCAGTGCTGTCAGCTTTTATTGGATCTAACATAAGGATACTTCTACAAAATATTATGATGATGTATTTTAATGTGTTAGTAAATGACTAGACTAAAAACCATTAACTTATGAACTGACTGCGAATTCGCAATTCCAAATATAGCATTAAGTTTATTTAATTGCTTCGTAAATTGTATCATTTACTCCATAACAAAGAGATCTGACTAAGCAGGACGGATTTAGTTGTACCACTGCTGACAGCGGGTTAGTCATTGTGTTATTCACGGATACAAATATTTCAAACATGTTTTGTTTACAAACAAACTAAAACAATGAACTTGGATGAATTTGTAAAATGGAAATGGATATTTGATCGCGTTCTAAATTAAAAGTGAGTCATTAACTGTAACGGTAAAAGTTATTTTACAATTTTTATTAATATACTATACTACTATAAATATATATCCGGCATTAAAGCTTTAATAAAAATAATTCTTTTCAACATAAAAGTGAAATTCCGTTTCCACCCAACGAGCTCGGGGCAAAACATATCTGTGTCTGTTTTGTTTATCGGTTATTTTACAGGCAAGTAGTTGATTAGACTTCTGTGCCCTGCCTGACCAAAACAATCTATTAAATTCCCAGGACCTTATTAACATAACAACAAAATTAACTGTACCGTAAAAAATGTGAAATATTAACTGTATTTTATTATGTGAAAACAAATATTTTTCATAAATATAGGGACAACACCACTGTTATCTTTAATAGAAATTAAATAAAATGTATGTTTTAAGATATATCGGAATTTCTCACTACAATGACGTCACATATTATCTTCTCACCTGTAACTTATAGCCATATTGACTTGTATAGAAGGCTGGTGACACCAGTTCCACGCCCTCCTTGCACTTGGCTTCAGCCATTTTGGCCGCGAAGTCAGTGACTCTCCAGACCAGAGCGCCAGACTGGTTGAGGGCTAGTCTGGCTAGGGCGGAGCGGAGGGCGTCGAGTTGTCTGGCCTGGCGTGTAGCGACACCGCATACCAGAGCCAGATGGGCCTGACAACTCTCTTCTACGTGACGATCTAGAGCTTGGCGTGTTCCCTGTGAAAAGATTATTAAAAATTAAGGCATTTAACAATAATTAAGGTTTATAATGAACTAGGTGCTAACCACGGCGTCATCCGCGTCCCGTCTTTCTTGCGAGTTAATATTAAAAGCTACATTTATACTGCCGTGTACATGTTTTTCCACATTTCGCACCGTCGTAGTGTGACATTATATACATCTTCAAGCATTCCTCTATAAATGGTCTATACAACACAAGAAATATTTTTCAATTCGAATCAATAGCTTCTGACAATAGGGCGTTGAAACAAAAAAGCTCTTGATTTGTACAGGAGTTTTAAAACATTTATTTACACTACCCTGCCCTCTTTACGCAAAACTAAGCCCTTCTTATTATTTATTAAGTAACATAGTTTATAATTCTACCTTAAAGCGACAACCAGCATCTCTATACGCGCAGGGCAATGCTGTGGCAGCACAGTGGTCGCGCAGATGCGCGTCTAGTTCATCTCGAGCGGGTGCGGCCGCGCAGCGTTGCGGGCAAGGTACAGGTGCGCGAGCGCAGGTAGCTCCGTGAGCGCCTACTGTATCCTGGAATATTGAAGATAAAAATTAGGGGCATTTTATTTAAAAAATTTAGAAAGTATTATTTACTTCCTGGTTTAAAACATTACTTTTCAAAACAAAATAGAATCTGAGACTGAGATTTTCTTTAAAACACTATCCACACACTACTGAACTACTGAAACTGACTAAAATTGTATACATAAATCCGCTTTTGGATACGAGTTAAAGTCCCAATCGTGAAATTGTTATCTTTTATGTCATATATAGTTTAATTAAAGCTGCAGTGTGTAAAAACATGTAATAATTATTCAATGCCATTTAATATACTACAGATAAAATTGGTAGTGTTCTCTAAATTCCTTTATACCAATGTAACATAAAATCTCCAATAATTAACATGGAGGCTGTTCTTCTAACCGCAGTTTAATTTACCTGAGTGTACCGCTGTCCGCAGTGGCGGCAAGGCACGAGCCGCTTGCTGCAGTGCTGTTGCAGATGTTGTTGCATGTGACGGCGTTGCACCTTGGCACCGCACTTGTTCTCGCAGTAGACTGGCTCGTGGCCACAATTTCCTTGGTGCTCCTGAAATACAAGAATGAAGAATTTTTAATTTGTAGAGCAACAGCTCGGAATGTTGACGAACCGGTTCAAGTCTTGCCCGAGTCTAAACATTTTTTCAATTTATTTTCGATTTTTAAATTGTAGATACTAATCAAATTTATTTTTATTTTTCCTTACCTGAAGTTACATTTATGGAGAAGACCAAACTATATTTTTTTTGTATTAATTAAAACAATTTGTATTTAATCCTAGTATCAAATGTGATGAAATATCGAATATAAAACTTCGTTATATGTATAAAAACCTTGTTTTTAAGAGTATAATGACAACGACTTTACCCCTAAATATAACAATGAAAAGCAATTACAATACCTCAAGCGCACTGCCAGAAAACTCCTTGGCACAGTGTTCACAGTTCGCTCGACGACGGGGACAGGTGTAGCGGAGATGGTCCTGCATCAGCACCCGAGGAATCATAGCCCCACACTGCGCAGCACACAGCACTGCGTCATGCTTGCATGTGTTCAAGTGCGCCTGAAACATTCCTCAAATTATACATGCTTGAAGTCACAAAGAAAATCTGTACAATTTAGTATTTTTTTATTATAGAGGTCGACAGACAAGATGATAGATGACATACCCACCCATATAATATCGAGTATAATTAAAATTGTTCGTAGTATTTGATAATCTGTATTATTTAGTTTAAAATGTAAAGTATGCAGTACTTTATGAAAAACTCAAACGAGTTTTTGTTTACGCCTTTTTGTGTTGATGTTTGTAAAATTTTAATAGATAAATAAAAAAACTAACATTCATGACTCTAAACATGATCGGATTTCGCGTTCTTCTTGTTAAGATCCTATTTCCAATCCTTAGAGCATGGGAAATGTACATTTCTGTATCTGCCCCATTGGTCAGAGCACGGTTATTTGTCGTATTCAAACCGAATACCATAGTAAAACATTCTTACACACGTTTTTATGCCAATCGCTAACCTAAAAATATAACACTAAATTCCTGTACATATTGAGGTTTAATTAATAAATTCTTACTCAAGTAATTCTGTTATAGTGATACATTTTATTCGTGTGAATGTAACTTATCTTAATTTATTTAAATTTTTAATTTCCTTTAAAACAAGGGGAAGTAAAAATCATTTTCAAATAAGTTAATATATTTTTAAACCTAAAGGTTTTATTTAAATGTGTACTACTCCAAACTATAACAGTATTTAATAATAATTGTGTTACAACATGTACTGTGATAGTGGCCTAGATGGGCGACGAGTAAATTAAATTATAAATATAAGTTATGACATAACTTTCAAGTAAGCTTTGTTCTTAAGTAACAAATGCATTTTTTATAATGTTTATAGGAAACGCTATATTTTGCCGCCAAATGGTTAAGCGAGAGATCCTGGGTTGGAATCCCAGGGGAACAAAAAAAAGTTATTACGGTCGGGTAGGGCACAGAAATTTGATCAACTACTTGCCGGTGAAACGGACACAGTGTTCGTTCCATGAGAGGGAAACGGCATTTCACTTCATATTTAGCCGGCAGATGGCAGTAGTGATAGATTTGCAATCTCAAGTACTTGATATTCCCGATAAATATGCTAAGCAATTCAAGGTACAAACAGCCTCTGCGTGAATTTAGTTATATTGGATTTATTTCATGATTAAATCCGTTTAAAGTATCTATTTTTATAATAAATGTATCCTAACTACAAGAATTTTAATTTTAAGTTGTGACTATCGTAACGTCACTCATAGAACTATTCTACTATCGCTTTCTTTATGTGCCCTATCTTCTATTTGATAAGAAAAGAATAGATTTTATCTATTTTGTATTATGTGAGTTCGACTCACGTTATTTACAGAAATAAATATATGTGTACCTTTATAAAATAAACCGTCAGCACAACTCAAAGCTTAAATACTTTATGTTCGATTCGAATCACGGGGAAACAGTAATCTGTTACGGGCTTAAAACGGAACGAAATGGACACAGATATATGTTCGCCAGGAAGGAAAGGGATATCGCATTCGAGACCTTTAATAGAAAAATATATTTAGTTTTGATACCGCACTTTAATTTTGCAAAGACGATACGAGCATTAAGCAAGCCGTTTAGGGTAAAGTAATTTAGATATAGTACATACATACACGAGAACCCGAACATTCGGTTAAATATTAGTCTCGGAGATAAGATAAACAATTATGTCAATATTTATAACAGTAAAGATAGGAGCGGCGGAATTTCTATAATGTTTTGACATGAATTTTCAAAGCGGAATAACAAAGGCGTTGAGGCGCAAAATTTAGTTAAATTTAACGGTTTAAAACGCAATCTATAGATCTCGCAGCAGCCATGACCACAGCTGCTGCAAAGCATCAAATTACACCTATTCACATATTATTTGAACTACGGCCCGACGTTTCGGATGCAATAAATGATTAAATTAAAAACTTTAACGGTTTAAAACGCGAAATATATGTGTTTAACTTCTTACAAATTATTAACTGCTGCAAAGCATCTACTATATCGATAAATAATACATTTCGCGTTTTAAACCGTTGCAGTGTTTTATTTAAATTTAAACTTCATTCGTTACGTTCATAAGTGTTACCTAGTTATCTACGTGAATACATGATTGAGTTGATAATATTTCCCTACCTTTAACTTGCGAAGTTCGTCTGACCACTGGCATCCTTCTTTGTGGTGGATGCAGTAGACAACAGAACCCATTATAGCCTTCTCCGACTCAGGGTCTGGATATATCTGGAAAGAGGAAAAAATATTTAAAACGCGCCTTTTGGTAGAGTTTTTAGCTTTAAAATATTTAAATTAAAGAACGATTTTAAATTGAAAATAAAAATACGACACTGCAGGAACCGACATACACAGCGTTCTATGCTGTTGCTTTAACCAATTCTATCGTATCCTACGGGTCATCGTCGAAATTTTTCAAGCACCTCTCGCGTTTCAAAATCCTTCCTGTCTTACTATGAAATTACTGTTCGATTAATAACAAATAAACAAACAATAAAGGGTTGAAAACTAAATAAATGCACTTATGAGAGTTTCGACCGTGTAATACCTATGTGTCGATACTGTAAATTTATTTCCTGAACTATTAACATTGTTATAGAGCAGATAAATCACGGCGATTAAGGCCGCAGCTAAAAAATAGGTCGACAACACAACCTCGGAAAACTGTATCACTCTATCGGTACACAATTAATATTTACATTATTAGAACTGAACATGCGATTCGATGACACCTTCTTCAACTTATTCACAATATATTTGAACATTTTGTATGAAAAATAAGCACGTCAATACTCAAAGGAGATCCTAGTGGACTGAACAACGGATTAAATAGGACGCGATTAAAAATAAACCACATAAAACTACGCACTCGCTCGAAAATGGAGCGCATGATTCGATGTGAAATGGTTGACACGACAGCTCGGTTCGGTTGCTCATAACATAATGCTCTCGTTTGTACAATTCGTTATCTGTGGGTGCAATGAACAGATGTGGACCCTATGATAAGCTTCCTAAACCTGCTAGCGTAAGATTCGAAAATAGTCACGTTTAAATAAAACACTTTCAACGGGTTAAAACGCGAAGTTGACTAATAAATAAAAGCTTGACTTCGGGTGCAATTGATGTATAAAATTATATCTAAAAAACTTTGACGGTATATATTTCACGTTTTAAACCGTTAAAATGTTAGGTTTAAATGTGTACCACTTGAGTACCACAGACAATATACAGTCGCCTTATAATGATATTGTTTTTGATATTATATTTGACATATAAATTATAATGGGTAAAACACTTAGGTGAGAACCTATGGAGTTGTATTTAATAAGACATCGGGCCTTACTTGAAGTTAAACTTAACAAAATATTTTTAATGTACTAATCACGTAAAGAAGAAAAAGAGTACAGTATTACATAGATATTTACAGAAATGTTGGTTAAATTGTACAAAAGTGTCTCAAACAAAAAATAACGTGTCTTGTAGCGAGCTGTTTTATCACTAAATTCTCTTTCAGTTTTGTTATACGACGATCTTGTTTGTAAACAACTCACGCGTTGCTCAAACGACCAAAACATCTTTTAACAGTGTTCAAGATTGCTAACTAATGCTACAACCGCTTAGTCGTAATCCATTGCTCCTCATCTACAACATACTAAAATCCGTTGAAACGCAAACGCGCAATGTATATCAATGTTTACAATTTTTTATTTACAAACAGTCCTGCATGTGGTCAACGGCGTAGCTCTGCATAACACCACCTTAGAATCCCTATTCTATAAAATAGGGTAAGCACATTAATTTCCGCGCGCTATAGAAATATGCGCCTTGTGCTGTGTTAACAAAGCGAATAATCGCGCGAGGCAAGGACGGTAGCTCTTAGCTGTCCGTGTATTTTACAAATATAGAATGTTATTTGTGTCGTATTCTAAAAAGATGAAACGCGATGTGTTGAACTCTCCCGCATCGCTCAATTATAGAACACGGTCTATCGTAAACATGGAGTCAGTGCTGCCAACTGCATGAGAAGCTAAAATTTTAGCGATAAGTTGTTAAAATTCGCTTAACAAGTAATCGCTAAATAACACGCGAATAAAACAAATTTAAATAAAACTTCTTCAACGATTTAAAACGCGAAATATATTAGTTCAACTTATTTTAACTACGGCCCGTCGTTTCCCCATGACCACGGATGCAAAGCTTTCGGAACGTCAAGGCGTAGTTAAAATAATTTATACGTAAGTTTAACGAATACATTTCGCGTTTCAAACGGCTTAAAGTTTTTTATTTAAATTAGTAATAGCTGTTTTTTATCCGAAGTAAATAAACGGTTACTGTTATATTAAATGGCATTTATTTATTTACCTTACAGTAATTATCTTATATCTTACTTAACATTTTTTTCTGTCATTACAATAAAAATTTATAAACACAGAATTTTCCATATAAAGCCGCTATATTGGCAGCAGTGTACAAACAAAACATTTTACTATGCGCTTAAGTCGCTTTCACACGAAGTAGAATGCCATTATAAGGGAAACAGACAATAAGAATAACATTCTATACAATAACAATTAATTTGAAGAACGCTATTCAATTCCGAAAATTCCTATAAACACATTCACCCAGACAAAAATTCGACACAAATAAGGGAGAATTTTGTCAGGTGATAAATTCAACGAGTACTCGTAATTAACTGTTATATAATTAACATATTAAAAAAACTAGACCCGGCAAGTAACACCTACGCGACATTAACTCCTATAGCAAGAAAAAAAGGGCTAATACAATTTTCAAATTCTTTTCACTTATTCAGACAAGAAATTGCAAATGTATCTAGTAAAACCAGTTGGTAGTGTCAATTTGTATACAGAAATATAGAGAACATACAATGCAAGACAATGCAAAAACAACTGTAGATCATTTTCTGAGCAAAATAAATATGTATGGAGCAGATTCATTTGTGTATCCGTTTTAAAGTACAATAATACTTTTTGGTATAAGCTGTGTGTGATGTTTTCAAATGAGAGGACGAAAGACAAAGTCTGGGGTTCGCTTGTAAGTGATAGGCTGGGTATGCCTATAGCATCTAAACAAGATGCGCTATCGACCTATTTTGACTTTGGATATTCGGAAATCCACAGACTATAACCGAAACGCGATTAAGCTTTACGGATTTTTCACCCATTTAATATCCAGATTTCCAGACGTAGGCCAAATGTTTAAGAAAAAATAAAAATTAGAAACATGTTCCTTCTGGTGGGGATCGAACCCACGGCCCTTTGATTAATCATACTTTGCAGGTCTAACATATAGGATTTAATTTATATTAAAATTTTGATTTAAGCTAGGAAGGTTGTGTGGGCGATGTTGCAAGTATCAAATGTGGGCGATAGGCATTACAGTGTAATTGGACAATATTTTAAACCTTATACGAATAACCTGTTTGCTGATATTTTCTAACTTTAATAAGTTCGTATTAACTACCGACTCAATACACGTACACTATAAGGCGTATCTGGCCTCAATTATAGGCCAAAGGTTATTTTATTAAATGTTACAATAAATGCCTCTAAGTAGAAAATTTTAATAATATTACTGAGACAAAGAAAAAAAAATACGGCATCGTTGGTCCCGAGTTTGATTCCCACGCTGTCCAACATTTTTCTAATCAATTTATAATTTTTGTGAAACATGTAAGACTTCGTCTGGAAATCTCGATATTAAATAGGTGGCAGAAATCGCCAAAATTTATAATTTTTGTCATGAATCACCGTCTACAGATGAAAAAGTCGGCAATATTAATCGCGATCTTTGATTTCAGTCTGTGGATTTCCGAATGTCAGTAGACAAAGTAGGTCGACGGCGTGCTTAAAAGCTGAGTTTTTCATTTACCATCAAGTGTATTGTTTGTCTGCTTCCTCTATTTAAAAAAAAACTTATCACTAATTCTGCATTCATGCGTTTTATTTTCGATTACATAAAATGACTAACATTAAATTTGTTTTGGTATTCTATTAACCTATTAAATAAATTCAATTAAACTTGAATAAATACTAAATATATCCTCCTTTTTACGATAATAGTCGGAAACTTAATGCGTACAACTTTGGCCTTAAAGACCCAAAATGTTATTTAATTCAACAATTAAAACCGTTACAATTGAACAAACTTCTCTTACAGCGAACGTGTTATTTCGGTCAGTTTATTAGCCACCGTATCCGCTGTTACGTCTTATTATTGGCTAATTGAGGAATAAAATGCCCATTTGAGCTACACCATAAATTATATGACTTGTATCCTTGTCTTTGGCCAGCTTAAAACGTTGAAAGCAATAAAAACCCAATTTACAATACGTGACGCGCATTTAATATAATGGATACTACACAACTTGGTTAGGTATATCTGATAATAATTAACTGATCGTGGTTCGATCCCCACCAGGTCCAACATATATTTAATCTATATATAGTTTTTCTAAAACTCGTTGGTCTTCGTCTGAATTTTTAAAAAAATATAATAATAAAGGAAGGAGTTAGGAATATTAAAATTCCGTCGAAGTCATGATTCGAAGATGAAAAATCCGTGTTTAGTCGCATCCAAAGTCGAAATGGGTCGATAGCGCATCTTATTTAGATGTAATATGTAATATTTCACCTTCTACCAAATTAACCCCAGTCTTGTCTGTCCTCCTTTCTTATGTACGAGATCTCTAGTAATTAGTTACTTAAACCTTTCCCAATGATATTTACTATAGCTTACTACATGTTTACATTCTCACGTCACGATGACAGGTAGCCTGGTTAATCTTAGCCATCATAAGGTGCTACATGTCAATGAACAGCGTGTTAACACGTTAGCTGCGCGGGCGCAACATAAAAAAAACTAAAGTAGCTCGAGTCACGTATGGGAATCGTCTGCGTAGTTCATTTACGTCTTTTGTATTTAACTCGTGAAAGGAGTTACATTTGACAATATTTTGTTGTAAAATGATGTTTTATTATTAAGTATTATGTACGCTAACAACCAATTACAAAATGTTTACAGAGAAATCCCGATTTCCCCATTTGGACAGACAGTTTTCTGCGTCCGTCCGATTTTTGTTATTGTCGAGCAGTTGGTAAGATTTCTGTGATTGCAACCGCACAAATTAATGGTTTCTTAGACTTTGAACCTGGGGCTTCTTGTTCTAAAGACGTTTTACCACGAGGTACAGAAGCGGTACTAAACAC